TCTAGAGACGTCACATCTGGATCTTCAAATGTTCTCTACAGATAAGTAACTGGGGCTCTTGCTGCCACCTGCTCACGTGAGTACACTCAAAACTACACTCAATCCTTTCATTTGGCCCATTTTTTCTTTGCCTTTTTAGTCAGTGCCTTTTTCCTGCTTTAGCGCAAGTCACCATGCTGTAAGACAAGAGCTGGGTGTAATAGGCAGCCTCTAAATGAGCTCTGTGGCAGGAGAGATAAGACCGTAGGGACTGGTGGGCAGTGGGGCGAGCAGGGAGGTGTGTGTGTGCGTGTGTGTGTGTGAGACACAGACAGGACGGCGGCCGTCCCTCAGGGCTCATCTGTTCTCCATGGCTGCCCAAGCTTGGCCCAGGCACTACTGGCTCTTACAGACAACCCCAGGATGACCACCGCACCTCAACAACTGCACGGTGTGTCCATCACACACTCACACACACATGCTGACAGACAGTGGTCACACAGAGAGCTCTCCGTCTTGCTATCCATTGTACAGTGTGCACTATGGCAGTGTCATTTTGTTTGCTTCATTGAACTGTACCATTTTTTCCAGGCACTTTAAGAGTTGTAGAAGAAAAGATTTTTTAAACATATGCTCATGGCTTTTGTGGAGAGGCTAACTTTATTGTTAGAGAAATGTAAATCTTAAATATAGGTAATCAGACATGTACAAATCCTGTAAGCACGAAACTGGCTGTACTTCTAATTTATTTCCCCTAACTGTATGAATGTTTATGCATCAACATCCTGCACATGCCAAACTTAGGCACAGATATGGTTTAATTTGACAGTAAATAAACATTTTTTGTAAGGGGGGCTTTGTGCCCCATTTTCCCCCTATAGCTTCAATTATGAATTTGATTCTTTCCAACACTTTCAGTTCAGCTACAAAGCATATTCAGTCAAAGGATCATTACTTTCTGTAAAGTCAGTGATCTTTAAAACTACCAAAATAAGCCAAAATAAGTTATTTTAAGGTAGTTAAAGTTGTGTCTCAAAAGTAATATATACTGAGATCTACAGGAAACATAATTCTGATTTCTGAACTCACTCTCTTTCAGCCATTGTAAGTTTGTACTCCTTAGCCAGACCAAACATATGCCAGACAGAATATAAAAACAAAATTCACCTTAGATTTCCAGTCATGATCAGTCTAGCTTTGTAAGTCTAACTGTACAGAAACTTATGCTATTTGGATTGTCTGTAATCTGTGTAGTGTGCATGTATAGGTTTAGTGTATTGCAATTTTCACAAAGATGAGAGTGCGACAGTGTCCAGCCATATTCTTACCCGTGTACTCCGGGAAACAGATACTCAAGGGTGATTTCTTGATCTTTTCAGCAAACAGGTCTTTCTTGTTGAGGAAGAGAATGATGGAAGTGTCAATGAAGAATTTGTTGTTGCAGATGGAGTCGAACAGCATAAGAGACTCGTGCATGCGATTCTGCAGGGGGGAGAACAGAATGGAGGGATAGACAGAGAGAATGCAGAAAAGGTTAGCCTGAGGAAATGGGGGCAAAAGTAGTTAAGGCCAAGGTAGAGGCCACAATGTGACCCACAACAAGAAAAGCAAACAGGAGGACGGTAGCAGCCCTGATTTGTTTCAAAGCAGATTTATGAATGTAACTTCTGATGAAAGTACTTGAAGATGCTACTGAGAGCGGCACAATATTCACAATGAAGTCAGCCTGTAGACTTAGTATGTGAGTGCACATGTGATTTCTGACAGATTGAAGGGGGGGGTGGGGGAGGGCGGGAGACAGAGAGAGAGAGAGAGAGAGAGAGAGAGAGAAAAAGAGAAAGAGAGAGACTTGTGGCACAAACAGCCCACACGCTCAGTTTCAAGTGGCACTTCATTTATTTATTTCATATAAATATATAAATGCAAATACACATCCATTGTTCAATAAATAATTAAGAGCAGTGAAAGACACAATAACTACAGCAGATAGACATATAACTGACAAACACAAACACTGCGATCACATACAAGAAAACACAATAGGGTGTATGATTTCTTCTGACTGATGAATCTAGTTGCTAGAATGAAATACTTTGGAATGAAAGTGGGGGACAGATGGCACTCTGCATTTGGCACTTACACCTACACTAATTATTTCTCTAATCCAGATTTCTCTAATCTAATCTAGACAGTATTATTTAAAATTACTATCCAACTGTGCCTTGAATGTGTTGTTTTTTAACTAATCATGTGTTTTGGCTAAATGTCCAATAATGGTAGTGTTATTGGCACTTCCAAGTTGCTGGGGAAAAGAAGACAATGGCGTATGTACACCTCTGGAAATGGATGAGAATGAGTTTCTGCCATAGCTATTTTTTTAGTCTCATTTCAATCATACTGCAAATGTGTTTTCCACTCTTGAAAAATCTCATTTCAGCAGGTAATATGATGTCAAATCGATCATTTCGATCCAATTATATATCACAGTCCACAGTGACAGCAGTCTGGCCACAGCAGCAGCTGCTATAGGCCAGGTAGAACCACAGGAACAACCAGCCATTAGTCAATCAGCAGTGCTCTGACTCAATTACCCACAAATGTCCTTACCTTAGCCAAAAATTTAATTTCCCACAAGTCTGCGGGCTGACATCCCACTTCCTCCTTTTCGCCTTGGCCACACAACCTGAGGCCTATCATTCTCTCAACTAGAAACACTAACTTTTATTTACTTTAGAAACTCTAGCTTTAAGGCCACAAAACAACCATAAAACAACTCAAGGGAGGGACAGAAAGGGTGTGTGTGGGGGGGGGTGCAGAGAGAAAGATTAAAGAAGAAACGAGCTGGGAGATCAGTGTCGGCATGAAATTGGTGTCACAGTTGGACGGGTACGGGGGTTGAGGGTTTGTTTTGCCTCTGGAATAAGAGCGATAATGACCCTCCAGCTGAGACACTGAGAGCACGCTGAGTCAGAATGCACTTCTTGTCTGTCACAGAGCAGCTGTGTACTATACACACTCCCCCAGTGCTTTTATACCAGCAGGAGAACCTTTTGCATGTTGTATCACCAACAGAACATATTATGGAACTCTGTCTCAGCCTGAAGACTGTTCCCTTCTGTAGAGTGATCAGCTGAAGTAACTGTAACAACCAGCTGAAGACACAGCCTATACCTGTGGCTCCCAACCCTGGTCCCAGAGTGCCCCATCCTGCGAGTTATGTCAACTTAGTAAAAGCTTGTAAATTACATGATTAGTTGGATCAGGTGTGTTAGAGCAGAGAAAATGTGTGATTTAATACATGGGCACTTATTATATTATATTTTATAATACATGGGCATGGAGTTTATTTATATGGGCCAGATTTATTTATATAGTACGAGAGCAGGTTTCGATGAAAATGACTCCCAGAATAGTTCACTACCATTTACGGTGTCAACACATTAGTTTGCTCCGATATCCAAGATACAATGATAGCTTTAGACTGACTGCTGTCTTCCTCAGGAACTGATGTGGACGGAGTGTCACATTTTAAGAAACTGGACTTTTAATGACATTTTTAAAGACTTTAGCCAAGAAAATTACAAGAAAGAAAGGTAAGCTTGGATACCTCCGCCCGTTCCTTGTAAGACAATCAAACCATAAGATCAAGATGATCAAGTTATAGCTTGTAGCAAAACTAGGTTGTTTTGGCAGATTGGACAGAGAGCGGCTGTAGCACATAGGAAGGTTTATGAGCTCATTTCATGTTCAGGATAAGTATGTTACAGCAAAAAGAGTTCAAAGTTACTGTACTCAATTAGTTTTAATGGACTTTTTTGAACATTTCAAAGTCACTAAGCAACAGTGGCGATGTTTGCACCTTCATTAAAAGCAAAGGTTTCGAGTTTTTTCACGCTGCGTCGTCAGGTGTGCACTAGTCCTGCTGAACGTTAACCGTGTGACTACCTCGTTACATGCTTACTATGGCACGTAATCTGTCAACATTAGTCAGGAGGGAACTCAGTTTTGTCGTACTGCATTATACTGATTTTGTAGATTTTAACTAGATCCACAGGGCCCACAACCACCCCCTAGGGCCCACAAGCACATTAAAGCACCTCTGAGGGCAGGAATACTCCAGGATCAGGGCTAGAAACTACTGGGCTATACAGTTCACTAACACAAACTTGATATACTACAGGTGTCATTTAAAATGTTTCTACCCTATTTACAAGCATTTCCCAAAAGTGTAAATACCCCGCCACAACACTTCAGCTTCAATTTAGGTACTGGAGCCTTCCAGAAGGTGACTATGGCCTACAAAGTTACAATACTCCCAGTGGTGCTATGTGGTCACGGAGTAATGGGGAAAAGCAAGACACCTACCATCTGTGACAAATACGGCACTGTGACCTACCATTACTGAACAGCAGTGTAGCTCCACACACACCGACAGAGGGTTCAGATCAAGCCCTGGCCTATCAGCTGAGCGTCTGCCTCAGTATTCTTGTGCTGCTTTCTCAGTGGAGGCCACTCCTTATTAGGCAAACGCCAGAAAGAACATTGTGACACTTCCACCCATCCCCCATCCTCCCCCTGCAGGCCTGTGGAACTGCAGCTACAACAGCTGTTTTCTTTCTAATTAATCCATAGATACCCAACTGCACTCCTGGTTGTGATGCCTTTCCACCATTACAAATCACTGTATGCCCCTCCTCCTTCAGTCTCCCATCTTGCTCTGTATTTGCAGCATGGCCCATCACCTGACGCAATCCTCTTTCTCTGCAACCGAATAATCTAGCATTTATGATGATGGGTAAGCTAGGCTATGAAGAACAAGCAATCCCGCAGACCTCTGAGGGGGGGGAGCGTAAAGACAGCCTGATTGGAGGCTTTCACTGGGCTAAATTATAGGCTATGGCCAAAATAAACAGCAAACAACCTGAGGCAAACCAGCTGAGCCAACCTGACACTATGATTAAACTGTACAGATTGACAAAGATGGATAGTGCTTGGCAGTTAGACGTGGTCCGTTTAGGCTGGTCTAGCCTAGTCTACATCAACTCTCAGTTTGAGAAAAACGACTGGTCTTGAATCAGCAATAGGAACCATTTCCACCCAATCTTCAGTTTCAAGTAGCATCTACTATCTCTGCTGCTTAAATCAAAATGGAATTACTGTTTCAGAAAAAAAAAAATCAGACAGTTATATACACACCATAATTTACTGTCAAAAAACAACAAAAAAAATCACTCCAGAACCCAAGTAATACATTTATACATATCACCATCGTACCACCAATACTACAAGACCCCAGATTTCGTTAAAGTTTTGCAATTAGAGTTTTTTAATAAAGTGTTTTAAGTGTTCATTTTATCACTCCTGTTAAAATGGAGATAACTAATTAATCTCGAAGTTCTAGGTATTTAGACTGAAAACTTCCATTGCGCATAATAATCTGATAGCACAGAGAAGCGCAGAGTTCATGACAGTGGGACAGCACTATTTTAGTAGTGGACTAGCTCACGGCATTAGCTGTTGGGCACAACTTTAATACCATTTAAATGTCACCCACAGGGTTTCATCAACATTCCAGTCTTGACAATACCCATGAAATCTTATCTGTTGTGGCACTCAAAATATCGGACAGCTTGGAGGACTATCATATACAAGTGGTACAGCAATAACGGCCATTTAAGGCAAGCAATGCTACATGGCTTTATGTGTTTCATACTTTGTACTGCACGAATGCGATTTATCCGCCAATACAGACACTATGATTTGATTGTTATGTTTTGATGGGGTCATTTGGGCTTTTGGATCAGAGAAAAAAGGAATCATTTAAGACTGATGTGATTTTGGGACAAGAAACAGTGTGCTTACAGAATGAGGACAGCTTGGCATTTAAATTCGTTCAACAACTATCCCTAAGCCAGCTCAATTAAGCTGTGCTCAAAACAGCCCATTGAGGGGGCAAATGTAGAATTCAGCTGTATACCTAACACATTATGGCATAATCAATAGTTGGGCACTGATCTTTGGATTAAATTTAACTTGTCCTCTTATTATGACTGCAGGAGAAGCTGTCTGCTTAGCTCTCATTAGCTCTATTGCCGTCAGCTACTGCTGGAGAGGTGGACAAAAAGAATAACACAGGAACAACACAATATCCAACAACAGTGCAGTGGGTGCTGTGCTCTCCAGCTAATCGGGGTCAGTAGAGGCCACAGAAGCGCAGGTTGTTGGCGATGATGACATCAGTGACGGCGTCGAAGACAAACTGGATGTTGTTGGTGTCCGTGGCGCAGGTGATGTGAGCGTACACCTCCTTGTGGAAGGACTTGTTCTTGCTTTCATACTGCGACTGGATGTAAGCCACCGCCTCCATGAATGTGCCTGGGCCTGGAGCGCGAAATGAGGCAGCAAGAAAGGCCAGGACGAGCGGAAGGACAAAGGATGGAGCAATGGCAGAGCAAAGACAGAGGAGCAGAGAGCAGATATGGGTAATGTAGACAAGTGTGCATACAAAGAGTCAGAGGAATGGAGAACAGAAGATTGGAAGTGTGAAAAGTAGGAGGCAGTGGCATAAAAGCAGTGGGAAGGGGGAAAGCAAAAGGGGTGTAATGAAAATTCAGACTGTAAAAATGTAGCACACACAATAATGTATCATGTAATAGGCTGCAAGCCTGATACTGTGGCTGCATGATGAAAAATGGTAGTACAATAATGCTGTGGCGGGATAAGTGGGTAAGAGCTTGTGCAGAATGGAAATGGAGGAGGTGGCCAACTTGGCTGCATTCCTCTATAAACCACATCCGAAAACATGGAGCCTGTCCAGGTAAAGAACGAGTACCCATCCAAAGACGGAGAAAAAAGATCATCTTTCCTGGAGATCTGCAGTCCTAATTGTCCAGTGTAAGGCTCTTTTTTTTATTCTTCATCTATTCATCCAATTCACTCCTAGCCTCCTCATTCTGACTGGACTGAGACTGAGAAAACAGCATCTCAGCTGGGCAAAGAATTTACCTGTATATTCAGGGAAGCAGATAGTTAAGGGCGATTTCTTTATTTTCTCCTCAAATATGTCCTTCTTGTTAAGGAAAAGAATGATGGAGGTGCTTGTGAACCATTTGTTGTTGCAGATGCTGTCGAACAGCTTCAAGGACTCATGCATGCGGTTCTGTGGGATCAAAATAAGAAGGAGTCAGACTCTACACTGCCCAGCACTCAACATATATACACAAGCAAGCTCAGGTGCAATCATATATTCTGTGTGCAATCAGACCACTGCACAGGTAAGTACAAGCAGTGAAAGGGAAGGAAGTCACAGAAATCAGAAAATCAGAAAATATTTCATTTTTCAAGTGAATAAATCAATCAGAATGCCACATCCCCAGGCAAGGTGACAAATGTTAGCTGCAACAGCATAATGAGGACAGAGTGGGGAACATTTAAAGTCATTTTCTCTCCAGATCATATGCTTATGTTAAATACTTGTCTCTGAATAGGATATGTTAAATCAGTATAGGTGGAAGCAGGCACTCTGGTCATTATTTGATCAGTGGTCATGATTACAGCAGTAGTGGGAGGAGTCAGAGATCAAATCACATTTGATTTAGCACTACAGAATTAGCCATCATCTGTGGAATTTGAGAAGTTGTTTATTTTTACCCCCCTGTGCCCCACCACCCCCAACAACAGGAATGTTGCTAAAAGATTAATAAAAGATTAATGCAAAAGATGAAGTGCAAGGAAACAAAAACAGAAAGCCACTTCCACTACACATTAGAAAAAGACAAGAGTGCTGCTTTCAACTCATGTTAGTTTCACTGGGATTTGGTGGTGGCAATGGGGGAAGTTCATACCTGTGGTAACGTTCTGGTGGATGGGCCGTCTGCAGAACCAGTTTTGAGGTTTTAGCAATTGGCGATTGGTTAGAGAGCAGAGCCGACGGTGAGAGATGGCAGGAGAGGAGCTGAGACGATCGGAGGAAGAGACGGAGACGCAGAGGAGGTGGCAGGAAGCCACCGGGGAAGGCCAGCATGACCACACAGGTGCATATCACAACACAACCCACCCCCTCCCCACCCATTCGCACATACTGTCCCCACGGCTAGAATGAAGAACAGGCAGAACAGATCCAGGTACCGAAGCATGAGGAACGGCACGGTTCCAGAAACCGAGAAACAATACAAAAGTCACACAGTCTCGTGCAGATCACATACAGTAGACATGGTGTTAGTGTGAGAAGCTGTGTGTGTTTACGAGACAGAGAGAGAGAGAGAGAGAGAGAGAGAGAGAGAGAGAGAGAGAGACAGAAAGAGATAGAGAGAGAGAAAGAGATAGAGGGGAGTTAAGAGGGGAAAATTCAGAAAAGGTACAAAAGACTGTTGCAAAAAAGCAAGGTATTAATGTATGATATGTATACAAAGAAGAAAAAAGAAAAAGAAGAAAAAAGAAAAGTGAGGAGGAAAGTAAGGAGCGCACATAGGTGTGTGTCCACACCCTCTACTCCCACCTTCTTTGAAACAGTTCCACCTTAAAAAAAAACAGCTTCCATCTCCTGTATACTACTTCTGTACATCTTTTTATAGGAGCACACTACTCTACTATGAGCCTTTAAAAACAAAAAGCACTAGGTCATAAATCCTGCTGCTGTTTTGTCCCTTACTCAGCAGAAAATATCATTTTCACACATTGAGAATTCTTGCTTTTAAATTTTGCTTTTAGTAATTTTTTGTGATGTATACGAAAACAGCAACGTTTTTTGGTGAAACAACTTTCATGCTTGTTTTTCAGTTTCAATTGTAAAAATGCATTACAACTACTGTGTTATTATTTTAAACATTGTGTATTATGTTAAAATTGTTTCAAATAAATAAAAAAAAAAATCACTGATAAATCTCATCTCAAGATGGTGTTATAGAAACGTAAAATGTAATTTTGAAAAGTAAAACAGGTCTTTCTGAATTGCTTCTTGTATGGAAAAAGGACTACCTCAGAAAAACTGATGGTTAGTGATTTTTAGATTTCTGTTAAATTTGGCTAAAATACTCAGCTGTGTCACAAAAAGAGGTCACTCATTAAATATTACATGACTTTAAAACTGAAAAAACAACGCAATATTTGTAATTTTCTACATACAATGTGACTAAAGCAGCAGTATACCATATATTAGAAAAGCTTAGGTTTTATTAATTTTGTCAGTGGTGCTCCAGCGTTACAACTTTACTGATGTTTTTCAATATAACAGACTTCATTTGAATTATATAAACATTCGTACCATATTTTCCATTGCAATGGTAGAATGACTCATTCCTTAGCTGTGAGTAAACTGACTGTAGAACCACATGCATATGTAACACTTAGGTAAAAAGCAAAAGACTATGAGAGGATTTATGTATTTTCTTCTTATTATTACTAGATTGAAGCTGGGTGTTTTCATGGACCTGCAGTCATTGCTTATTCATTTTCTTCACTGTATGTTGCAATTAAAACTTTAAAATCTACTGCATTTTAGATTGAAGAGACTGAAGACACTGATTACATAAGCCATGACCTTCCAGTATTCGCAGACATTTGAATTTACTTGGGGCTGTCTGGAGTTTCTGTGTGTATATTCTTTATGTAATAAATGTTATCATGTGCATAACAGCAGATGTGAGTGTGCATGTGGTAGAGAACGTTTTCTGTGTATGAGTGAGTGTATATGTATGTTCTACTCACCGTGGTCTCATCTTCATGCAGCACCTGGTCATATCCACTCAGAGCCACACAGAAGATGATGGCAGTTACATCCTCAAAGCAGTGGATCCACTTCTTCCTTTCTGACCTTTGACCTCCCACATCAAACAGCCTAAAAAGATATGACAGCATGAGTGCAGACTCACCCACTACCTGCCACATGCTCTATCCTACACTCAGAGGTGAGTAGTAGCTATTTACATAAGTAAAATTTCAGTGTATTTTTACTAGAGTATTTTATGTCTACTCAAGCGTATCTGTACGTAAGTTAGTTAACTTTTTTTTTCTCAGCTCTACTTACGGGTGGGCACTATGGCAAAAATATAACAATATGCATTACAACATTTAGTCTTTGTACACTGTACCTCTGGCATGCAAGTATTTGCTTCTATATATATATATATATATATATGAAGTCAGCATTGGCCCAGAATAAACCTTTACAGTAGTACTTCTCAGTCCCTACTCAAACGCTGGGGACCCCATGTATGGCACATTGCATTTTATCTTCTCATTCATGGAGGTTTAACAATCACCTGGTCTGAGTTGAATCAGTCCAGAAGTCGAATGACAGAATCATCTGAATTCCTACGGCACTAGGCTCCTGACTCAGCTATCATATTGGGTAAGTCATTCTGAAACGTGTTCTACACTCACAGTAAGTGTTCTACTAATTATTTCAGTGTTCAGATTTAGTTGATACTTTCTCCAGGCAGTTGTCCGCTGTGGTCCCTGACCCTATTTTGCACAGTAAGGCTAATTTCTAGGCCAGCACTGAGTGAAATTCAGCTTTTTAGAGCTTAACGGAGCGTCCTGCTGCCTGCAGCACAGATGTCAGCTTTTGCACAAATTAACACATATATTTGAATATCTTCTTCTTAAAACCTAATTAACTAAGAGAGAGGGTGAGTGAGGGCTAAAAAAATGTGAAGTAGCTGAACAGCAGAGACATGGAGAAGAAAGAGAGGAAGAATAAGATTCACGTATCAACATTTACATCGGACTGCCTTCACATCCCACCTTTGTCAAGGTTAATGGTGTATTCTCTTACAGATAATCATGTTACCATAAATGCTTTCATTCTATCTGGCCGATTGCACCATCAAGCACAGAGGGCTAAAATAAAACGGATAAGGTTCTCAACCTGGAAGTGCCATCTTCACAAATGTGCAGAGTTCTACAGAAGGGTTGGCTAATTAACAGCAGTGGAAATCACATTTTGCAAAATTTTGGTCACTGCAGGTTGTTACTGTTATACTTCACTCCTCAGTGGAGCTGAATAAAACATATTTTTTTTAGATTTAATCACCAGGTTTTCAAGGTAATTAAAATGTGTGACTGTCAGACTTTAACCTCATAAACAGCAGATTTGTTATTCAGCAACTATACATTCAGAATTATACTATGAAACTATGTGTACAAGACTGTGCACGAGTCAAAGACCACATTTTTAATTTTCAGCCACTAAAATAGCCACTAAATACAAGATCTTTATTTTTCAGAAAACTAAGAGATTAGATACAAAATAGACCCCAGGGGTTCAAGTAATCATTGAAAGAAAATGGCCTCAAAGGCCACCAGACATACTGTGTCACACAGCATTGTGTAGCGTATAGCAGAGTGCTGCTATAGAAGAGCAACAGCGACTGCTGATAAACATCAGGTTCAAGTAAACTTTTACACTCGTATAAACTGAATGAAATAAAGCTTTCAGCATCACTTCTCACGCTTGCCATTAGTTTACTATCTCGTAGAGCATGGGACTGTCTACCCCAGAGTGTCCACTGGGTATGTTTCAAATTACTTAGAACATGATAAGCGAAACATGCAACCAACTTCTAAAACTGAACTTTGGAGGTGTGATTTCTTTGAAAGAAAATCTTCCAAAAAAGACTGAAGCTGTAATAAGGACACTAAATACTAAAAGAAATAGTACTTAGTTGTTGAGGCTTCTGTAATTATCAGTTAAATATGTGTATTCTGTCTATTTTCCTGAGGCCATAAAAAATTGAATGGCTTAATTAATGACAATGAATGACTTCATTTTGACAGGAAAGTAAACAAATGAAGGGTGGTCTCTGACTTTTGCACAGTACTACATATTATGTAGTTATGAGACTAAAGAATTGACGTGCAGGGTAGATATTATAAATCTGTCAAATTAAGGCGGTTAATATTGCAGGAGGGTCCAGCGCTGGAGTCCAGAACAATTTGGGGATTTCCCTCCTTATCAGGTTTAGTAGGTAAGTTTGAGAAGGGAAATCACCAAATGGATCCAGACACCCCAGGTTCATAGTAATGCCCTTACAGTGACGCTGTGTGGGGGGGAAATATGAGCATGAACGTGGAGTGGTGTACCTGAAGTGCAGGTTCTTGAAGGTGAAGTGGGTCTCTACAATCCCAGTGGTCTTCACTCGGGTTCTCAGAATGTCCTGCTCTGTGGGCTGGTAGTCTGGAGCACCAATCCTATCTAAACTATCTAGGTAACTGGGGAGAGAGAAAAAGAAAGAAAAAACAGCCTTAAATCTGTACCTTTTTACAAAGAAAGAGTGAAAAAGTAAGAAGAAAATTGGATCACACTTCTCACAGCACTAATGATGACATTCATCTCCACTTACTACTTAAAACACAACAGTGTCAATTTAAAGAGAGAAATCATATATTTTCACCAGCAAACCTGAATTCATTCATCGTGGCCCAACTCTCACATATCATCGTTAGCTGGGCCGTTAGGTTTAGTGAAACAGAGGCTGAGTATCTGTGACTGATTGCAGTACCACATCAAGCATGACTGCATTCTGTCTCAACAATCTCAAGGATGTCTCTTTTCCCACTTTCCCATACACATACAAATTGGGCCACAAAGGAGAAACCACACTCTCGCCTTTGAGACTGGAACAGAACTGATATAGAGGTGTGACCTCCAAACACACCAACCGGCTGTTACTTCAGAGCAGAAGCTGAGGTGGTGAGACATAAGCTGTTTATCTTTGCCGAAACAGGAACAATAACAAAACCCGGCGTTACTGGTAGACACAGGTTGACCAAAATATTAAAGCACATTTTTCTTTATTTCAGGGGAACAACAGTACTATAAAATTAGGGATGTATGATTGAAATTTGCCAAGACAGGAAACTGTCAGATTTTTGCTTGGTCATGTTCAGCCTTTTACTTTCGATGTAGCACTTCATTTGATCTATGTTCTTCAAAAAATTTTCATACTGCTTTCACTAATGGAAATTACTGGAAATGCGTTGCCGTGTTTCATTTGTTCAGTATGAGCTTTGGGTATAAAAAAAAAACAGGCTACTATAAATATGTGCAAAAAGAAAAAAAACCTGTTTCAGTACACATCTATCAAAAAGAATTTACATTAATTTAAATTGATAAATTCCACCATAAGTTCCCATCGAGAGTAAAGCTGATCAGAACAAAATACATTATCATGGACAGTGACTGACATCATTTTAAATACACAACAGGGAGAGAGGAAGGGATGCAAAAAAGCAAAAGATTAAATAGGTCTGCAAAAAAGTGTGACAATCTAACACTTCACAAATAATTTTAATGAAAAAATGATTGTGATTAGAAACCGTGATTAAAAACACTGTTCACTTTGATCTCATGCACTTAGACATGTTCAAACAATTTGAGCAGCAGCAGATAAACAGTGAAACACAAGCACGATCCGCTGCATCCGTGTTCAGTACAGTCTATAACTTGCATGCTTTTTAGCATTAACTTTTTTAATAAAATTCTTAATAGAAACAACTAGTAGCTCAGTATCTTTTAATAATAAAGCAGCAAACGTATGTTTTTTTGGTTTCCGCTGAGGTTAATGGCTGTTTCTTCTCAAAATGACGCACACTGACTTGTGGGCTAATAGCACTCCCTACTGGAGAAAATTCAGACTGCTAGGTGGGAGTTCTAAAGTCAGGTCTACGTGCTTTACGTATTAGAAAATGAGGTGTTTTCCATTGTAATAAAATGCTTTTGGGAGAGCATAACTTGTAATTTTAAAACTTCTAAAATGTAATATTATTTAGAAAGCTGTTTCAATAAATTAGTCCTCTAGTTCTCTTTCCCATCATGGTGATCATCACACATGAGGCATTGTTAGCATTCTTACACTAATTCAAAAGCATAAATAATGAAGCAAATTATATGAATAAAAGGGAGGTACATCATCACCCAACTCTACAGCACAGCACACTAGATACACATCCTCCCTCTTTCTCTCCATCTGTGTTTGCTGTGGTGTCGTTCTCTTCTCACTGACCGAAAGCCGTAGGCCTCTTAGGGCAGCTGCAGAAATCAGCAGCCATGTGCTAACATTCCAGCGGCAGTGTCGCTTCAGCCCAACAAACCCCCACCTCCCTGTACCATAATGCCTTGAACAAGCAGCACATAGCTTAACACTGCCTAAACCTGCCCGCGTGAGCTTGTGTATTAATCATTAATAAATGACTGATGAATGTTTAATAACACAGTTGCTAATATGGCACAGCCCGCGCCAAGCTGCCACAGTTGCAATGGCATGGTGCCAAAGCCCCATTGCAGCTCATTAGTTCCTGCCCCTGAAGACTCGGGCTGTGGAGTCACAGGCTGCTCACGGCACGATTCAACACAGACAGACAGAGAGGGGGAAAAAAGATGGAGAGACACAAGAGAGGGAGTGCCAGACAGAGACAGAAAAGAGTGGCAGGTTTTTTTACATAGGGGCACAATCTGCTTTTTAAAGGTATCTCCCAAAGGAGGGTACTGAATGCTCCTAAATAAGAACAGCCAATAGTCAGCCTCCTGCAATACGCCTCACCAACTCCAGAGGGTGCTCTAACTGAGAACAGGGGCTCATTGAGATGCATTAATGTTTAATTGGTGAGCTTGTGCCCTACAGGGCTGCTTAAGGGCACAGCGCTCACAGGCTCTTTCATGTCTACCTGCCAAACTGAGGCATGAACTTCGCTCATAGGACAGAAGCTAGGTGCCCGCTACCAGACGGCTCTTCACATACTAACTGGAGTCCACAAGCAACCAGCATATGTACCTTTTCATCCTTTTTCTACCTTCCTTCCTTGCTTTTTTAGTGAAACAGAAAGTCCATGTCTACCTATCTGCTTTTCCTCCCCCCGCTTAAACAACAAAACCACTTCTAATTGCCTAATTGTTGTTCTAATTGCTGCATGGCTCTTGTATGCGGCCATGTTTATTAACAAGTAAGGCCTACAAATACAACAATTCTAATGAATTTTCATGAGTGAAAGAAGACCATGAACCCTCTATTGACACTGCTCTGCTCTGACTCTCTGTGAAGTCTCTGCTTATTCATATAAAAAAAAAAAAACTGTAATTGGCGGGAGGCTTAGGATCTTGCATTCAAGATTAGCTGACATCAAGTTTTTAGAAAAAGTTAAAAATTAAGGAAATCTAACATTCAAAGTGAGAAGCCATTCCAGGTCCAGTGCACATGCGTGTCTGTGCATGTCCACATGCGCTCAACATGAAATTGTCTCCCATTTTCTACAGTAATTCTAAACTGACAGCCTGATACGGTGTTGACTCTGCGTCTTCAGCTGTATGATCCAGACTTCTTTTCTGATATATCAAGCTGGAGTGTAACAAACCTGACATAAATAATGCCCTGGGCCCCACATAATTAAACCAAGCGTCTTGATGGTGATCTACTGCTAGAATCTGAAGATGGCCCCCCCAAAAAACTTTAAATCTGCAGCCAGAGGAGTTAAGGCATGCGCATGCTAAGAGTTAGTTTAGGTTGGAGTTCTAAGTCAGTACATAATGTTGAGTTTCCATTTTAAAATGCTGTTACCAAGCTGGACTTTGTTGGAAACAACAACGAATTTGCTACTATGCCATTGTTAGCTCAATTACACAACAAAAAAAATACAGAAAACTACACCCAATCTATCCCAAAAGTGTGACCTTAATATGGATACAATATGAGTATGATTTGAAATTTGGAAATTGTGGAAATTACTAACACTCCAAAATATCAGCTTTAATTAATGGGTACTGACCTCTATGTTGGATGAATCATAAAAATACCACATCCATTTTATACAGAAAATCATCAGATCACATTCATTTGTTCATAAGTAACTGGTAAAAAGAAGGAAATCATTACGTTTTGACTTCCAAATTCTTGAAGCCTGCATCCCAGCAATCATTTAATGCTGGATATCCTCCCTGGTGATTCAGCCATGTTCAAATTCGCTTGTTTCAGGGCTTCCTGCCTTCAGTCTTGTCTTGAGTGAGTGAAATAAAGCGACTTTAGTGACTGAATTGGCAGGTCAAGAACATTCCACACAAAAAGTCCATACATGCTTTAGCAGGAAGTTTCAGGTCACTGACCTGTTGTAAGGTGAGGCGTCAGAGTTACTTAAACCTCTATTTAACAGTCTCTGAGCAGTTTAGATGCTTCTGCACACTTCAGAATCCATCCTGCTGCTGCCAGTATTCAGTGTATGACAGAAAACTATGGCCTTTTGTGGTCAGCAAGGTTGTTTGCTATTATTAAACTCAAAAGTGCTTCTTAATAATGTACTAGACAGTTGATTTTGACATCCTACCGTTTTGTGCATGTCTATGATGCTTTATTCTGATTTTTTTAGCTTCAACATGTCATGCTTTACTGGCACTGCTTTGCTCCTCATGTTGACAGACAGCAGAGATAGACTCCAGATGCAAATGGCATCCTACAATCAACTCTAGACCTTTTGTTATCTTCCTTGTGTATGATCTACTGAGGTAATGACACAGCTGGCCAAATGACAACTGAACCGCCATTTTCCATTTATGGTCCCCTTAAGTGGTAAAACTGTATAAAAACTGATTTCTATATGATCCATCTGAGACAGATGTAATCCAGTGTGCTAGAGCACAGAAAAAAAACACAGTCACTGTCCATTTTCTAATGGACAGCACTGTAGATACTGCTTGCAAGTGGATAGTGATCATACTGTGAAACGGTTGTCATAGAAGCAATAAACAAATCTTTGACTGTAGAGCACCTCTAAAGTGCTTGGTTTCCATGTATAGTGGAAGTGTTTCGGACCATACCTAAATGCTACTACACTATATGTCCTTCAAATCCCAATGTGGGGATTATTCAAGGGTGCAGTGAATGAGCGCAGTGGAAGAAAAGGAACAGAACCAGTGGTATTGTGGTTTGGGAAATTCCTCATCAAAAACTGTACCGATCTTTTAAGTATTATAGCCAAAAGTCCTATGTAGATATATTTCTTTAGACCACAAAGAACCCTGGATAAGTTTTAAATAAAGCTTAAGTGCTCAAACTCAAGAAAAATAAATCATTGATAGAACGTCCCTTTTCATGAATCAGCAATGATTAGCTGGCATTTTACATTATGATAATGCATACTGTGGACTCTCTGACAGGAAGAAACAGAAACACAGCAATTTATATGTATTTTTTGCCACTAACTGCTTTTAAAAGACTTCATAAAAT